GTGCCCCAACCCCCTGATTGGCCCTGCTCTGTGCGTGACAGGGGGTGGCGCCGCAACCTCCCCATCGACCCTGCCTTGAGTGTGACAGGGGGCGGTGCCCCAACCCCCCAATCGGCCCTACCCTGAGCGTGACTGAGGGTGGCATCGCAACCTCCCGATCCGCCCTGCTCTGTGCATGACGGGGCGGCGCCCCAACTCCCCAATCGGCCCTGCTCTGAGCCTGACCAGGGGCTGCACTTAGGGATTGGGCCTGCCCTCTGCCACCCGGGAGCAGGCCTAAGCCAGCAGGTCGTTATCTCCCGAGGGGTCCCAGACTGCGAGAGGGCACAGGCCGGGCTGGGGGACCCCCCTCCCCCCGCCCCCCGAGTGCACAAATTTTTGTGCACTGGGCCTCTAGTTACTAATAATAAAAGCATAATATGCTAATTAGACTGAACAGCTGAACGACCTTCCGGGCATCATTCCAGACGTCCTTCCGGATGAAGCCACGGTGGCGGGGGCCGAGGCAGAGGTGTTTAGGGGTGATCAGGCAGGCAGGCGAGCAGTTAGGGGCGATCAGGCAGACAGAATGGTTAGGGGCGATGAGGCAGGCAGCAGAGTGGTTAGGGGCAATCAGGCAGGTGAGTGGTTAGGAGCCAGCAGTCCCTGATTGTGAGAGAGATGTCTGACTGCCGGTTTATGGGGGGTGGGGTGTACCTCATAAACCAGCAGTCAGACTTACACCGAGGGGTCCTGGATTGCAAGAGGGTGCAGGCTGGGCTGAGAGACCCCTCCTCCCCCGTGCACAAATTTCGTGCACTGGCCCTCTAATATAGGATAATTATTTATTGTTGAAAGTTTTCCCCCATTGACCCCCTCCAGCCTGCCCCTGCCTCCAGCCCCAGGCCCTCACCACCCCTTTGTCTGTGGCCATGGGCCATGCATATATGCATACAAGGTCCTTGGTTGATTACTTCCCCCCCAACCCACCCTCCCCCGCCTTCCCTCTGAGATTCTGCACTCTGTTCCATGCTTTGGGTCTCTGGATCTACTCCGTTCATCAGTTTATTTTGTTACTTGGATCCACATACTTGTCTTTCTCTGACTGATTTATTTCACTTAGCATGATACTCTTCAGGTCCCTCCATGCTGTCTCAAAGGGTAAGTGATTCTTCTTCTTTTTTTTTTTTTTTACTGCTGCATAGTATTCCATGGTATAAATGTACCACAGCTTTTTTATCCATTCATTTATTGACGGGCACTTGGGCTGTTTCCAGATCTTAGCTATTATAAATTGTGCTGCTTGCTGTGAACATAGGGGTGCATATATTCTTTCTGATTGGTATTTCGGTTTTCTTAGGATATATTCCTAGAAGTGGGATCACTGGTCAAATGGAAATTCCATATTTAATTTTTTGAGGAAATTCCATACTGTTTTTCATAATGTCTGCACCAGTCTGCATTCCCACTAGCAGTGCACTAGGGTTCCCTTTTCTCCACATCCTCACCAGCACTTGTCATTTGTTGATTAATTGATGGTAGCCATTCTGACAGGTGTGAGGTGATACCTCATTGTCATTTTAATTTGCATCTCTGTGATGATCAGTGACTTTGCGCATTTTTTCATACGCCTCTTGGCCATCTGTATGTCCACTTTGGAGAAGTGTCTATTTATGTCCTTTGCCCACCTCATTCCTTTTTAAATAGTAATCACACACTAGAGTATTTTAGATATATTGAATAAAACATTATTTTTACATTTAAAAAGTATGTTTTTATTGATTTCAGAGGGAGGAAGGAAGCGGGAGAGGAACATCAATTGGCTACCTCTCGCACGCCCCCTTTTAGGGATGGAGCCCGCAACCCGGGCATGTGCCCTGGCCTGGAATCTAACCAGCGACCTCCTGGTGCATGAGATGACACTCAACCACTGAGCTACACCAGCCTGGCTACCTTTTTTTTTTTTTTTTTTTTAATGTGGCCACTAGAAAGTTTTAAATTACTTTTGTAGATGGCATTCTATTTCTATATTTCTGCTGTAGGGAGTGGGCTGGGCTAAATCTGATTTTTATTTTCCGGTTCTACTGCAGGCCCCAGGGGTTGGGGACCCTACCATCAGTGGAAATGGGGATCTGTGTGGGGAAAGGCCCTGACCCTCAGGGACCAAGCACATGCGACCCCAGGGCAGGAGGGAGCCACGCTCACAGGGTCAACCTGGGAGCATCTGGTGGGAGTCCCAGATGGCAGGCTCACTTAGGCATGGGGCCCACAGCCCCCACGGGTGTTAGATGAGCACCTGCCTTGGCACAGCATGGCTCGTGCAAAGAACAGTCATCTTTGTCCTGAAGCCCTGGGTTCCAACACTGACTGTGCCACTCACTGTGCCCAAGTCTCTTGGCACCTCACAAGCAGTTAATGTGAAATGGGGCCACGTTCGGGTCTATTCCTCCAAGGCTCCCAGGGCCAGTGTGAGGACCACAGGGGGAAGCCCTGTTTGGCCACTGCTGATGGCTCTCTCCGGAGGAGGGCATCACAGACTTGCACATGTTTCTGGGATGCTGACTTGCTACCAGCATATAGTTCTTTTGAACTCTGCTGAAGTGCAACTTTGAAAATCTTTGTTCCACTCTGAAACGCACACCAGTGGCCTGTAGCAGGCACCTGACTCGTGGTTTCTAGAACTGGATAGAACGAAATCGGGGCTGAAGCTTTCAAAGGGAGCTGCTTGCTCTGCACGGGCTGATGTGGCTGGCAGGAGCCATGGGAAGAGCAGCTGAGACAGACCTGAAGGCCTAACCCCACAGCTGTCCAGCGGCCCCTCTCCAGGTCAACTGGCAATGACCAAGCAGCCAGAAGGTTGAGGTCTCTCTCAGGAAGCCCAAAGCTGTTCCTGCCACCTCAACCACTTGACACCAGTCCTAGGAGCCAAGTTTGAGTCCCAAAGAGCTCTGAGGAACCCAGGTCCAAGAAGTGCTCCTTCTTCAAAACTAAACATCTTTCACCATGGGACGGGCACACACACACACACACACACACACACACACACACACACACACACCCCTCACACAGAGCAAGAGGGGAAACACTCCGTCTTTTAGCTTCTAGCATTAAACCCATCAGGGTAACTCTTCAGTTCCAAGTTGTGTGTGCACAAACCCCACGAGAGGCACTGGACAGCAGGGTCGGCTCAAGATGGATTGTTCTAGGCTCATCCTGGGATCTGGGTCCCTAAGAAGCCTGCGAGCTTTTCTCATCAGCAAGGCTGCTCATGGCAGGTGCTGCAGGGCCTCTGCAGGGCTGATTGTGAGAGCCACCCCCCCTTGCCCTGTTCTAGGTGGGGCGCAGGAAGTACCAGGCCGCGTCATGGAAACTCATCCCCGGGGGAGAGAGCAGCCTTCAGAGATGGCAGAGAATTTAATTCCCAGGACAATATGCCGCAGAAACCCCAGGTGCCCTTCTCGAGGAAGGGGCAAGGCCTCAGGCAGGCAGCAGGGCTGAGGATGAGGAAGTGATTACGGGTGGGTGAGGAGACGAGATGCCCCCCCACCCCCCAATGCACTGGGACTCTCCATAGAGCAGCTTTTAAAGGAGCTGCCGTGTGTGACCGCCATGGAATGGCTACTTACATGACCCACAGATCTAATTCTCCCTTCAGCTGGAAAACGGGCGCTCTAAACTCCCAAAGCTCTTTGGGTTCCAAAACCCAACCTCTGCTTATGAACCTTGGTGTTTCTCGGGTTGACGTAATTCTCTCTCTGAATACTATATCCTGCGATGTTTCAGAGCCTAGGTGGAGTTGAGTCAGTGTCAGAACCTACTAGTTTAGGGAACTTTATTTTTAAAGATGAACCTGAGGCTGTACAGCTAGTTAGTGCAAGAGATGGGGCTAGAATTCACACTGCTGGTTCGGTCCTTTGGCCCATCCCACCCTTGGCTGAGGGGCCAGTGAGACCACCTGCAAAGAGCCTGTTCAATGTTTTGCTTCTGAGCACTGGAGGCAGCCAGGGTAGCTTGAGGTTTACTTGCCACAGGAGAGCTTGAGGTGTTACTCGCACTGGACAGTTCCCAGATGGCTTTACCTCTCTCCGCCTGGTAGATACAAAGCTGGGCTTATTGCAGAATACATGAGGACGCAACAAGAAGAAAAAAAAAAAAAGGAGTGTGGGGGGAATGAATAAGGAGAAACAGTGGAGAGTTGGGGGAATGAGAACATGTGACCAAAGGAACCCTTTGTCTTAAGAGTCTGCTGACAAAATCCAACAAATAGATTCTCCAATAAACTAGGCAATATCTCCATCTGGTGGCCACTGAGGGCATATGCCTCAGGAATGGAAATGCAGCAACAATGCAGTGGTCAACTTCTGATGAATACCCACTGCTCTCCCCTCCCTGGTTGAGGCCGGCACCTGGCACAGGGGGGAACCTGTTGAGGAAGACTGGCCCCCCAGCAGGAAGCATTAGTTGCCGGGGTCTAGAAGGTTTGGGCTAACATGGGAGCCATGGCTGCCGATCCACTTGGGGTCACTGGGGTCCTTCAGACTACAGGACTTCACAGAAGAGATGGCTCTTTAGGGCTCTGGTGAAGCCTCGCGGCCAGCCCTGTGCACAGCCAGCAGGCACCTGCTGCTCCAGGGACAGGCCTCGGGAGGCAAGGCCTCTTGGTGATGACTGCCCAGAAGTGACACTCCCGTCCCAAGCTAATCCAGTCCGCCTTGTAAGAGCTTCTCAGTCAGGAAAAGGAAAAGGAAAGAGGCCAGCTGGGGGCAGAGGAGCCAGAGGAACAGGGAGGACGTCAATAAAAACAGGCTAAGTAATCGTGGGGGCCAATCTCATTCATCAAGGTCCAGCCATTTGCCAAGGTATATGCACATTTTATTTAAAAAAAGTTTACAGTTTTCATTATACACAACTATTAAGAGGTTATAGTCAGAGGAGGCATTTGTCCTGTTGACAGAAGTGCCCACTAGATCATCACAATGCAAGGAAAAAGATGGAAGGGAGGAGCTAGGGTGAGGAAAAAATAAGTGGTAAAGAGCTCAGATTTCAACTAAGGGCTGGCGAGTCCCTTTTATCTCTTCAAGTATCACACAACATGTACCAAATACAATCAGTAAATGATGGCCATTTCTTCCCAAGGCCACAGCCAAGGCCAGTGTTTGCTGAATTAAGAGTCCTGGCCCTTCCTCCGGTGAGTGGGAAACCTTCACACCTGCGGGCCGTCAGCTCCCCTCCCCCAGGGGCCTCCGCTCCAGCCAGTCCCTAATGGAATCGCCACGGTGTCCGTGGCCAGAGGAACAGGAACATGGATTCAGAAGTCCAAAGAAGACCAGGTGTCTGTGCCCAGTCAGAAATGCTTTGATTTCAGCCAACAAGGCTGTGAACCCAGTTAGGAAGCTGGTGAAATAAAACTTACTTTTGTTAATGGCTTTCGCTTTTCTAACCGAGTTCCTAGAACACAGAAGGGTCACATGCCACAAAATCAAACACTAGTTCCCGGAAGCTGGCCGCACGGAAGCTAGTGAAAGATGTGTCTTTCATGATTCTCAGCCATCCCAAGAGGAGGCGTAATAAAAAGCAAGTGTCATAGGCCAAGGCCAAGCAGGGCTTCAGGGAGACTTTTGAAAGGGAACAATTCCTTTGAGGGGAAACACCCTCCAAGAGCTTAGATCAGCCAGTTGGCAATTAGAACAGCTTTTGAAGTGGAAGAAAAATGTTAGGTACATGGCAACTTCTGGTAATTATCTCACTAGTATAAAATGCTGGTTGGAACTGCACAGTCAAGTCAAGGAGGGCAATGAGACTGAAGACTAAAAGAGCAAAAATGCCATAGTCTAGGTTGGCTACCAATAAAGGCAACCCACAAGGCTGGGGCTTGGGCTGCGGAGAGCTGTGGATCCAAGGCCGCAGCCACCTTGCTTGGTGTTTGGCGAGAGCTTGAGCTCGGTCATTTGAATAGGCGCTGGTAAACCACAAGGTAGAATTTTAAAAATGATGAGTATTAAGGAAGGAAGGGAAACTGCCAGAAGCAACCCTGACTTACCACCACCACCTTTAAAAGCAGGAACATCCAGCCCTTCTGAGGGGCTCCAGATGCGTCTGAGTGTTGTGATGGGCCAAGCTGGAAAGGTGCTTGGTGCTGAAACACCCCTCACTCAACCATCTATTTCTGGGGGCCCCGAGTCCTCAGATCCACGCCAGGCCTCTTCCAGCCCCCTCTGTACCTGTTAGTATGGTCTCCTACTCCCACCTCTTCCAGGTACTGGGAAGGGACAAAAAGTTAGCATTAAGAAGGGATTCTGTTCAACTTACCCAAAGTCCACTTCGAAGTGGAGAGGTAAAGACCCACACAGAGTGAAAAACATGCATGGGACCAAGGTTAGTGCTCCGATGAGACAGACTTGCACAGAATGAGTGATTTGAGTAGCAATTCTGGAAGCTTCCAGTACTAATAGAGAAGCCCTAATTACACCTTCATCACACAGACTTGGAGACCACACACACACACACACACACACACACACACACACACACACACAGCAGCCACAGTCAGGTCTGTTTCTTAACACCTGCAACCCCCTCCCCGTCTTCACTTGGGATTCTACACTACCACATTTCCAGTGCCGAGCTTTCTTCACAGGCAAGCTGGTGTCTTTTCGTTAGAAAAACATGGATTCAGTTGAGGAGCAGAGCTGTGGCACATAACTTTCCTAAACTTGGTTCTGCTAGTTTTTGGGACAGGATTTAAAAGAATTATTTTTTTGAAAGGTAATTAGAACACTATTGTTTATACAATATTGAAAAAATACAATTTTTTATTGTTTGAACTCAAATCACCACCCAGCACTTTAAGCCTACCCTAAGTCGCACCTACAATAACGGTTATAGCACAAGCAAACTGCTAATTCAGCAGGTAAGCAAGTTAGACAGTGCCAGCAGACCCTCCCTCCCCCAAAGCAATGAGAAGACAACGTGCTAGATAAGAGTTAAGTACACCGTTACATGTTAAATAGTTAACACTACCCTTCCAACAAGCCACAAATGCTAGATCGGCAACTCAGTACGGTTAACTAACCACAGCCCTACATAACTGCACTTTTAATTTTTGTAAAGAAAACCTTTTGCTTCATGCCCGTAATTAACATAAAATAAGTAAATTCTTTGTCTTTTTTTTTATTTAGGAAAATAATCATGCTAAAAGCAAGTTGTACTTTATATAGATTTTCAAAGAAAAGATTGATTGTGCTTTTTGACTAAAAAAGATAGGATATCTTCCAACCTCATTGACTCAAATCTTGTGGAATATAGCACTTCTAAACTAAAAACACACATCAGAAAGAAAAATTAAATTATCCCAGTGGGACATTCAAAAATTGTCTTTAGAAGGTTTTAGGATTGGCTATTTCTGTTCTTGTCCTACTGGTTGCGACACAAAACGAATACAGAGGTGCTGTCTAGAGTTCTCCAAATTCAGCAGGCAACACTCAGATCTGAAAGAAACTGCCGGCAACCTGGACATATGGTTAGCTGAGTACACATTTCATTAGCAGGCGCTGTAAACAGTCTGATTTCCTCTTAACATACACAGGGGAGGAGACTTCTTCCTTCTCACCTGTTTTACTACTACATCACATTTCTGGTTCCTCTCCTCTATTCAGTCACACTCTGAAAAAAGCTGTGTTTTCCCCATGTACAGTCACTTTGGGTACAAGATACTTTATTTGTTCCAATTATTACTCATTTGAAATTTAGAATACGTGTTGGGTCTAAACTACCCATTTCCCACTCCCACAAGCAGATGATGACCAGGCCGCTGCCAAGAGCAGCAGCAGCAGCAGCAGCAGGAAAACCAAAACCAAAACCAAAAGGTGGAGGAGAGAACCCAGGAGTCGCAGCCACCAGAAGGGTCTTCCTCCCGAGTCTAAGGGTCCACCGAGCGGCTATCCGAGGAGGAGGCCCTCTCTTGGCAGGTGAAGATTAAATCTGTAACCTGTCTAAGCACAATTCACACACACACCAAAACCCAAACCCAAACCCAAACCCCAATCAAAGAACCCACAGCCACCCTCCGATTTAAAGCTCTCAGCCAGGGGAGCGTCTCAAAGTGGCCAATCGCATGAGGATGTGACTGCACGTGCTGGAGAGGACACATCTTCCCAGTCACTTTTCTCTTCCTGGCCTGTCCTCTCAAAAAAGGTCTGGATTGCAAGCTCTACCATAGAAAGAATCAAGTTCAGAAAACACTTCCCACAGGTTCTCCAAAGGAATACACTCGTGGCTGCAGGGCCGAGTAGCCAGAAGGGCAGGAATCTACATGTAAAAATGTACTTAAAATCCGAGTCAAAAATTGTTTTAAGTTTCAACACTCCAATTAGCTCCCTGTTTACACTGTTACTCCACAGAAATGAGGCCACCTAGGTCGAATCACAGGCGGGAGCAGCTCCGTGACGTGCTGGCTCTACACGCTCCCACCGCAGGCCTTTGCCTCCCAGTTTCCTCCTTTCCGTTTTGAAAAAGCACTATTCTATCTTCACATCCAAGAGCTGGTTGGTTTGGTTTGTTTCTTTGGAACCATCAATAAAAGAAGCAACTTTTTCCTGTTATTTTTACTTGTCTACCTATCAGAGCGGCTATTTCTTTTGACAGTTAGTAGCACACAGGCTGACTTGGCCAAATGGACTTATGAATGCATGCATCCAGACCGCATATTGCTACCAAAATGGAATGTGGGAATATGCTATGCACCTCAGGTTGAGAAATGACCAAGAAATCAAGATCTAAAGGGTGATATATAATATATATATATCAATGCTATTATTCATAAAAACCTTGTTTAGTAATAAAAAAAATTGCTTTGTTTAAATATGAATATTATAGTCTGCTTCTCATGGTTAGGAAATAATAGTCTTTCTGAAAAGCAGGTGCCTTTTCTACTACAACTCCATATCCTGGGCCTCGTCTTCTGAAAAGTCAGACATAGAACTCTCCGACGAGCTGTCACCGGTGCCTTCCTCCTGCTCCTTCAGCGCCTCCTCCGTGGCGTATTTCTGGATGTACTCTGCACAGGGGACGGGGACAAAGAAAACCAGGGCAGTGAGCAGGCAGGCATGTGCTTCGTGACCCCCATGTTGGCAAGTCCCAGCTCTCCCCACAAAAACAGGGGTGGGTGGGGGGGGGTAACAAAGATAACATTTGTGGTCACGAAAACTAAGGGAAGACTTTGGAGTTTATGAATTTTACCCCATTAGGCGGAGAGGCAAAGCAGGACGGGGACTTGTAGGGGAATAAATACACTGTTTCACCATCTAGAACTCCCTGGGCCATCACCTCCCAGATGTAAGAACACCTACCAGGTGGGTGAACACCCTCAGATGGATGTACACAAGGCAGCCAACCACCCTTGGGCCTTGGCTGCAAGGCACAGGAAGGACAGCAGATATCCAGGACGATGCCCAGCGTGAAACGGCCTCCAGCCCTCTAACCTCCAGTGCGGCTGCCCTCCTCCAAACTTGATGGTTTGGGAAAATGTGTTCTCTGTACTTTCTTGTAACTTCCTATATTAACAGAACTATTCACCTCCCAGATAGCACTGGACTAGTTATGATTCCATAGTAATTTATAAGGAAATCCCCCATCATTTTAGGTTTGCAGTGATATAATTATAGCCGGCCAAATCTATTATGTTAGGAATGGATTTTAGTTTAAACAGGTCCTGCCTGTCAGGTTTCCGAAGCAGCTGGTGAAGCAGCCTCTCAATCTGCTCAGGAAGGGGCTGCTGTCTGACAGCCGCCTGGAGTGACGTCACCACGTGTTATTTACCTGGAGGTTTATGCTGCTGTCACCTAGGCTGAACAAACAGTTAAGAACTGCTGAACACACAATTACACTTGTTCCCAAGATCGCTAAGTGCACACTGCTCAAGTAAATAGCCTATGCACAATATGAAGAGACAAGACAGTTAGATTCCTGTTCAGAATGCCAGCAGGGAGACACACACATCCTCATATCCTTACGCTTTGTTTTTCCTCCCATGGGATTACTTAGGGGCTAAATAAGAGGAAGATGAGAAAAACGGCCAAATGGGCCTGCCAAATCTGAATAAGTTAGTGTGGGAACCGAGATAAGGATTTTTAATTTTTTATTTAAATGATGAGTGAGAATCATTGATCAGCTGCCTCCTGCATGCTCCCCCCCACCCCGCCCCCCGCCGGGAATCGAGCCCACAACCTGGGCATGTGCCCTGACCAGGAATCAAACGGTGACCTCGTGGTTCATAGGTAGATGCTCAACCAATGAGCCGTGCCAGCCAGGCTAGATAAGAATTTTTTTTAAATATTTTTTTAAAAGGGTTGTTTAAAAAGAGGAAAAGAAGAGTATGTGACAGAGACTATATTGGCCAAATCTGGTATTTACAAAACAAGCTTACAGATTTCTGACTTCAAATTCATAGTGACAAAATTTTATGCTGAGATAATGAGTTGGGGGAAAAAAGCCCCTAACTAGGTAGAAACTGACATTAGCTTACCTTTTAGAGTGAGAGAAATGTTTATTAAAGCCCTAGAAATTTTATTTTTACTGTCTAATGGGCTGGCTACTTTGTAGAAATAAGCTGTTGCACTTTGACACTGTAATTTGATACTATCAGCCTTCTTAATTAAGTATATTCAAGGAAACACTTACGTATTAAGTGCTTACTAGGACAAGGCCTTTCAGGAGAGAGAAAATGAAGAGTAAGGTCATTAATGAGAAGAAACCCATGAGGAGAAAAGGCAGTTAGTTGCTGAATTCATCAGAGGGAAGGAGTCGTGTCTGCACTGACCCTTGAAGGGCTTGGCTTCTCCACTGCAGTGCAGGAGCCACCACTCCAGGGGAAAGCCAGCGCCTGGCCAAAAGCAGAGGGAGAAGGAAGTGGCTGGGATGTGAAAATACAACCTTCAGAGCTACATTTGTTTTCTTTCTTTAAACAATTTTGAAGCAAATAAGGCAAAATGTAGAGGTTCATCTAGTTGGGGGATGGGTACAGAGTTATCATCTGTTTCTCTGTGGTGCTGAAACTTTCCCTGACTAACTAAGGAAGAGGATATAGTTGGGTACCTGAAACTCATCCAACTTTACTGTCATATATTGATGCATTTAGAGGAATAAAGGCAAAGGTGTAGATCGCACACAGTGGCAGAGCGCCTGGATGGCAAGCTGAGATGCCACTCAGTGAAGGCTGAGCGGGCAATGACGGTGCCAATGATGCCCTGTTCCACAGACAGTCCAATATTCACAGGTGAAACAGCATCAGCTCAGTACGAGTGCTGATAACGCTCATGGTGAAGGGTGCACACACCGACCTCTGTGTGATGTTAGGTGTGGAAATGTCCACGAGCAGCTCAGGGGAGAGTCACACCTGGACACATTTTTGTTTTATTTTTTTTAAATCCTTTTATTGAAAGTATTACATACGGCCCATTTCCCCCGTTAGACACATTTTTGGAAATCATCTGCCTGAAGGGGATTTATTAATTTAAAAAAGTGTGTGTGTGTGTATATATTTATTTTTATTTTTATTTTTTTAAAATATATTTTTATTGATTTCAGAGAGGAAGGGAGAGGGGGAGAGAGAGAAACATAAATGATAAGAGAGAATCACTGACTGGCTGCCTCGTGCATGGCCCCTACTGGGGATCGAGCCCACAACTTGGGCATGTGCCCTGAGAGAAAATTGAACTGTGACCTCCTGGTTCATAGGTCGACACTCCACCACTGAGCCACACCAGCTGGGCTGGAGGGGATTGTTTAAAGTTGTGAGGGTTGAATAGGCTTCCCAAGGAGTGGGGGAGGCGGAAGAGGGGGTGAAGGACAGAATCTTAAAGAGAATGACCATGTTTGGGAATGGAATGAGAAATGTTTTCAGAAAGGTAAGAGGTAAAATACCAAAGCTGCAGAGAGGTCCATGAAAACAGATCTTGAGAAGGCTCCAAAAGATTGGGAAGAAATGAGATCATAGATTCAGTATAGGAGGGAAAACAAAACTAGACCTCAGAAGTCTAAGGCAAGGAAGCAAGAAGTTTGAAAATGAAAGGAATTAAATGGTAAGACTCCTAAAGGAATCCACAGGAGCAGATAAAGGCTTCTGAAATGAGGGTGCCTCTGATAGTCTAGGGCAGCGGTTCTCAACCTGTGGGTCGCGACCCCTTTGGTGGTCGAACGACCCTTTCACAGGGGTCGCCTAAGACCATCCTGCATATCAGATATTTACATTACGATTCATAACAGTAGCAACATTACAATTATGAAGTAGCAACGAAAATAATTTTATGGTTGGGTCACAACATGAGGAACTGTATTTAAAGAGCCAGAAGGTTGAGAACCACTGCCCTACCCTAGACCAGTGGTCGGCAAACTGCAGCTCACGAGCCACATGCGGCTCTTTGGCCCCTTGAGTGTGGCTCTTCCACAAAATACCACGTGAGGGCACGCATGTACAGTGCGATTGAAACTTCGTGGCCCATGCGCAGAAGTCGGTATTTTGTGGAAGAGCCACACTCAAGGGGCCAAAGAGCCGCATGTGGCTCGTGAGCTGCAGTTTGCCGACCACTGGTCTAGGGGAAGAGGTGGAACCAGGAAAAAGGGGATCCATGGGAAAACAAGATCACAGGTTGGTGGGGGTAGTCTGAGAAATAAGATGGGACATCTCTTATTTCCTATTGGAGGGAACAAGGGTACAGTAGGAAGTTAGGGTGAGCTCAGGTCTGACAGCCATGATTTTCTCAGATTACTAAGGAAGACAAAATGATAGCCAGCATTAACATTTCAGAAAGCTAGAGTTCCCTAAGCTAGAGCTAGCCATTCTAAGATAAAAATGTAGGCTAGGTTCCTTTTGCAATTGGTATTACAGCAGATATGTACTAAAACAGTAGTGTTCAATTGCTGCAGCATAGTTAACACAGAACTATAGACATATGTTCTGCACCAAGGTATCTGTGGGTTGTAGACACTGTTAAGTGATTCCTTTGTCAAATTTTTAATAGTCTCATAATAGGATTTTATCTGGTTGACACTGACTGCCTTTTTCTTGATACCTGTTTGTTAGGCTATGTAGATATTCTGCCGCATAAATTAGATAACTTGCAAAGCACCTGAGACCTAAGTAAATTAGAGTAGATTTATTTCTATTTTATCTCAATAACAGTACTGAACAATACCCTGTAGAGACCAGAGGAGATGAGAAAACGAAGAGAAGGAAACCGACCATGATCCACAGTAGCCCCAAATGCTCCTGAGTGTCTCAGACCTGCAGAGTGAAGACCTATGTATTCAAGTTCTCATGAATTATTTCTACTGCCATCTCTTACAAATGCACCTCAGAGGGCACTGCTTTGCGGAAGATAATGTTCTGAACTGCTAGGCAGATGGGCAAGTTGTGCTAAATATTGGGTATATACCAATGCCTTCCATTTGTTAAGACGAACAGGTCTATGAATTCTTTTCTTTTTTGGTAGAACTTTATGTATCTAGACTTTTCAATATGAAAGTTCTCATGACATTCATGTCCCATTAATATGTAAACAGTTTAAGATGGGAAAATGGGATTCTAAATCCTAAAGAATTAGGAAACTAGTGCTGCCATCACTAACACATTTCTAACTTTAACAGTACATTTCAGGTTTTAACAGAAAAATCCATAGATCAGGGGCAAGGTATGTGCAGTAGCAGAGAAATATGCCTACATGAAAACTTCCCAAAGTATTGGACCAAGAAAAGAAGCCAACTGAGTATACTTTTTTGGTTGTTAATCCTCACCATAGGATATTTTTCCCATTGATTTTTAGAGAGAATGGAAGGGAGGGTCGGGGGGTGGAAGGGAGAGATAACAAGAGAGAAACATCAATGTGAGAGAGACATATCAAGTATCTGCTTTCCACACATGCCCCAACCAGGCCCAGATCAAACCTGCAACCCAGGTATGTGCCCTTGACCAGAAATCAAACCTGTGACCTTTCAGTGCATGGGTCAATGCTCTAACCACTGAGCACAGTGACCAGAGCCTAACTGGATATATTTAATTCCATAGGTAAAATATAATTCTTTAAAAGTCTAATGATGGATTTGGCAATTATTTTTCCAACTCCCAAAGGTAACTGTTTTATTGAAAGGCCAGGATGATTAATTGTCTATTAAATTCATGTGAGATTATACCTTTCAATTAATCATTATTCTCAAGTCTAATTTTCTAACTTTATAAGACAAGAGGAAGCAATGAAGGCAAAAATTCTTTTGGACATGTGTCCACATGGATTTCTGGCAGGGTTATACCTTCTACCACCCAACAGTTAAGCCTCCCACTTTCTCATCTTTCTATCTTTCCTTTTGCTCTTTCTCTCCTTCCCTTCTCTCGTGTTGGTACTGCAGCTTCCAAAGGTTGCCTCTGACCCTCAGAACTACAGAGGTTGGTGAGCTCTGCTCCAGCCAGCAGCTATGTCTTTTTAGGCCTGAGAAAAATTATTAGTAACTAAGAAGGGCCATCATTGATCAAAGCTGAATAGACTTAAGTTCTTCTTCTCTAGGTTAAACGATTTGCCTTCTTACCTTTAATTTTCTGCTTGTATTCTTCTGGTCGGTGGAGGTACATGGCTGCAGCATCACCATTGAGAGGATCTATGGGATTGGGATAGGCCAACAACTGGGGCAGGAAGGACTCAAATATATTGGTAAGATCTGAAAAAACAAACAGAAATACATCATGCACGGAACAAACAAGTTCACCTAAAATTCACTTGAATTCAGTAGTCAAAACTGCTTACCTTCCTAGATATTTAACCACATGGATATGTGCTCCATTATCTGTGCTGTACATTGTATATCCCTTTCAATACCAATTAAAATTTTTTAAATTTAATTTTAATTTGAAGAACTAGATAAAGGTATGCCTGATATTCACTTTGAAAGGCAATTTTCCCAATTCTAATTCACCCCATTTTCTAAATGAGAATTCAGAAATACTACATACATTGTTTATTAATTAAAACCTGTGCCCCAATACTCTACTTTCCTACAAAGTGAGTACTTGATCTCTTAACATAGCTTTTTTCTATAGCTTTGAAAATCACCACTCTGAAAAGTATTCAAGCACCAGATCTTAAAAGAACTGAACACAATTTTATAGGTCTTGACATTTAATCCAATTCTCATAACTTCTAATGAAGGTAAATATAACCAGTTATTCAATTATTTTGGGTAATGAGGGTAAGAACTTATATGGACAACTTAAAATCACAAATAAGACAGATAAGTACTAATTTACTGCATTTATCAATAATCATTTACTAATTCCTTCTGGCCAGATTCAGCACAAGGTACTGGGTATGTACACATGACATCTACACACTCAGTTAACAAAAACCCTGCAGTCATATTGTGTTTCATCAAGTAGACCAGAAAGCCTGCAAAATTAACCACAGGTCCCCATTAACTTCAAAGATGATGTGATTTCCATCTTATTTGCTCCCCAGTTAGCAGACAGTGAACTGTGGAACCTCAGTGCATCCATTCCCCTGCCCTACTCTAGTTACTCTATCATGCTAAAGGAAACATTTCTGTTTCTGGAGAGATTGCTAATGTAGCATAAAATGACTTTTTAATTTATTCAGCTCTCTAAAGATTTTTTTTATAGTATTATAAATGGATGTTTTGTCAAGCCACATCACTTTAGATTAGTGGTTCTCAGAGCAGGGGGTGGGGTGGTTTTGCTCCCCAGAGATGTCTGGCAATGTCTGGAGAAATTTTTGGCTGGGTGTGGGAGGGGGCAGTGGTGCTATTTGTATCTCGTGCACAGAGGCCGTGGATGCTGCTAAACATCCTACAATGCACAGGACGGTCCTTCAAAACAAATAATTAATTAGTGCTGAGGTTGAGAAACCTGGTCTAGATAAAAGGATTGGCAAACTTTTTGTAAAGAGAGAGTGAACACTATGGGCTTGTGGGCCACATTTGGTCTGTCATAACTACTCAACACAGCTCTGCTGTTGTAGCACAAAAGCAGCCATAGGTAAACAAACAGGTGTAGCTGTGTTCCAATAAAATGTTACTAAAAAAACAGGCAGACAATATTTGCCGACTTCTGTTCTAGAAAACCCTACAAATAGGTGGCTCTTCCTTGTCACTGTAAGATTAAGGAACTGAGCAGTCAGAGAATAAGCTAAGGCTACATTATTCAACAGAACTTTCTGCAATGATGACAATGTTCTGTATTTGCACTGTCCAATATGGTAGTCACTAGCCACACGTGGCTACTGAACATATGAAATAGGCCAGTGTGACTGTGAGGAACTGACCTTCATTCTACTTAATTCTCATTAATTTATATAACTACAAGTGACCAGTCTCATATTGGACAGCTCAGGTCTAGCACAGTCCTGGTCTCATGCAGAGATATTGACACACAGCAGGTTTACCTTTAACCCCAAGTTATAGGCTTGGTATTATTACATGGACTGGGGCTATTTCATCTTCATAAAGCTAATTTTCCAAAGAACCACGTTACAGTAAGATTCCCATGTATCAGAAAACAAATACACAGATTCCTAATCAAAACAGAAAAAAAATCTCCTAAGATAACCCCAACCATCTGCAGATTTTCACTGCCATTTTACTTATAATTTTTTTAAAGGAGGCAATATATACAACAAACCAATAATTATCCATGATAAAAAAACAAAAACAAAAACATTGAAAACTGTTTGCCAAGGCTAAGGGACAGAGAAAAATGCTTATGTTGTAATGCTGGGTGGTGAAAATCCATAAAATGGTATGTCCTCTAGAATTACAACTATGTACAATATGCATTGTATACACAGAATATTTAAAAAGTTGGGTCAAGGCAAAAGGCTTGTAATTTCTACTTTCCACACTTCAAATGACACTTTACACTTTTTAACCTTTAAAAATGGCACTTTCCTATAAATATGTTCTTTCTACTTCTATATATGTTTGACACATAAAACATGACAAGCCTGAACATTTTTCTTTCCCTCTCTGTCCTTGGGTGGTTATTAGTACAGTGGTAGAAAATGCTGAAAGGAGGGCAAATTAAGAAGGAAAAACAAGGACTGTGGCAGTTCTACAAATTAAACATGATCCCCGAGCAAGGAAGAGTAAGAGTTACAATAACACTAATAGCAATAACAGCAGCAACAGTTTATACCTAGCACGTACTACAAGCCAGGCACTCACCAATAGTTTACACAGACACTTTCATTGCAGCCAGTGAGGTAGTATCATTATATCCTCATTTTGTATATGGGAAAACTGAGGCAGAAAGAGATTAAGTAACTTGCCCAAGGGACTGGTTTTCAAACCTGGGCCTATCTAAAATGCTGCCGCTGTTACCAGATAAAATGAATACTGACTGTCTTAACTTCATGATGGCATAAGCTCTCCATGTCTGCATCAAAATCATATACCCTCAGAGATGGCCACCCTCTCCTCAAAGCTTTTCTTTTTCACAAGTTCAAGACCAGCAAGATGGTCTCTAAGTGTTTAGGCGTTTCTGTGGCTGAGCTGCCTGTATTTCACAGAGGCAGGTGCTTGTTTTCAAAGCGCAGCCACAGGAAGTAGCCCAGGCTGTTCACAGATACCCACACACAGTGCACTGGGGGTTCTCATGTCCTTACTACACACCTGTGCAGAAAGATTAGCAGCTGAGTGTTCCTATCATACAACAAAATTAAAAAAAAAAGTACAGGTTTTACTTGCTCTAAGTAATGTTCAGAAGTGCTTCAAGCCTCAAATATTGCAGACGTGTTTCATAACTAGATATTTCATGTGTTCCAGGAAGATTTTATACCCTTTCTCACTACTTTAAGTTCCTCAAGCTCCCAATTAAGTGGCTCTGCCTAGGTATTTGTTCCAAACAAATAAAAGAACCCTCAATAATTGATTCTTCCTTCGTATGTCTACTTCCCGCATCAACATACTTTTCATCCATTTCACAGATGTGTTGTCACATCTGTAACACAGAAGAGCAGAAAAGGGAAGTATGGCACTCTCCCTCCATGGAGCATGCCTGTGCCGTTCCCTCCCCCTCTCCTTCCCCCAAAGGCACATACCCCCTAAACTATAAAGGACCCCATGAGACTTGCAACCAGGGGAGCAATGGGCAGCAGCAGTTTATCCCAGGTAATCCCCTAAACCTGTCTCCAAGGCGCCCTATTCTCTGACTTCCCAGTGAGCCAGAGCAGCCCAGCCAGGCTCTCTTGTTGCTTCTTCTATGCCCTTCTGTGTTTCACACTCCTAAGTATATTTTTGCTGTGGTCAATAAATTCTTGCTTGCTTCTCTACACTTTGTCTCTTGATTGAAATCTTCCCCTCAAGAGCACAGGAACCGAGGTCTTGTCATCTTCCTGGTAGCATCTTTTTGGCACAAATTGCCCAAACACTTGCCTGCCCCTGGATTCTCAGGCAGGTCTGTGGAGATACTTAACACCCAGCATACTCCTTATATTAAAAAAAATAATAATAAAATTAAGTTTAAAAAAAAAGAAAAGGGAAGGTATGCAGCCCAGTTTTGGCTACAGGTGGCAGCCTTTGAAGGCCAGGATGTTAAAGCAATGAAGCATTCCTAAAAGGGGCTAACAGAGTGATTCCCACCAACAGCATCCTCCCCAAAGAAATCTCTCTCAAACATGCAGATGTGCACAAAATCTTCTTTCAAATAAATATGTTGGCAGAAGAGACCTAAACTATAAAAAATGAAATAAAGATACTCATCTTTGGAAAAATGCATCATAACGAACATTTCCCCCTAGAATTGTTAATAAAAACATCTATCATTTCAAAAGTCTTTTTTTAAAAAAAAACCCACATTAACTTCCACTTTTTGAAAGGGAGAGAGGCAGACATGGGTCACCCAATCTACACACTACAATCAGCTGGCTCCACTACTGGCTGCCTTCATTGTTAAGGAAGTCCCAAGATTCCTGAGAAGTACGGTTCACGATGAACAAACAGCTTCGAGTTCGGCCTTGGATTAAATCAGTACTTACCAAAATGCAATCCATTAGACTCTTCAGCCTGACCTTATTAGTATTCATGTTAACAATACTACAACATTCATGCCTCCATTTAGACACATAAACTAATCATTTATATTTAATTTTTAGAAACACTCAAATCATATTGATCTCTCATCTAAAGCAGCATCATTTATCCCAGTCAAGAGCAATGGCTTATGGGTGAATCTAGGTCCTGGCTGTTTGTCCATCAGATTTACTCACAATACTGAGGTCTCATACCCACCCCAAGGACTCTTAGGATTGGGTGAAATGTGTGAGTGTGTGAGAGTGTGTGTGTGTGTGTGTGTGTGTGTGTGTAGAAATACACAGCCAGAAAACACTACCTACCTATGCAACCTCTATCCTCAGGGACTGAATGAGAAGACGGCTATTTGCTTGTGGCTTCTTTGGTTCAAGAAAATACTGTTCTTGGCAGCAATGCTGAAGAGGCTCTAGCTGAGGATCCCTCCCTGACCCTTTCCTCTTTCTTTCCTGTCTACCCCTTAAGTAACTATCACTTCCTCCAAGTGGAGGTATTCCAAACCACGGGCAGGAAAAAGTGGATCCATTTTAGAGAGGCATTAAAGGGCTGCTTTAAAGTAGAATAGGTGGTGATGGGTATCACCTAACACACTGTGGACATCGAGTAGAGCAAAGCCCATTAAG